CCGGGCTCAACCAGGCCACTTATTGCCGGTGCCGGGGCCAGGCTTTGGCCGCAGCCCCGCCTGGCTTTGCCAAGGGTCCCAAAATACGCGCCAGAGCAGATTGAGGGCGAGCTAGTGGTGGTTTTAGCTGCGAGGCTGTCTCGGTGTGTGCGAGGGGTGAGCCCAGGGCATGGATACCCCTCCCTAGCCCTGCAAATATTTATCTGCACAGCCCAGACCTGCCCCCTCTGCTACTCCGCATAACCCAGCTCTGCTGCCAGGGACAGTCCCAACTTTCTGTACGGAAACCCGGGACCACCTCACGCTTCCCGAATGTGTCTGGGAGCGTTTCTGCCGCAGCCACGGAGCGTCCCCCGGGCTGCCACAGCACAAACTTCTCCCCCTGCACACCGCAGCATCCCCGGCTGCTGCTCCCGGGCCGTCCCACGCTGCCTCGGCTCCATCCCTGCGGGAAGCGGGCACAAATCCTGCCCCGAGCACCCGGGTCCGGCCCCTGCCCGTGGGTGCAGATTCCACGCTGCTTGTTTGCTTGTTGGTTTGTTTGTTTGTTTTTAAGACGACGCGAATTTGTTTATAAAATTGACTCATGGCCCTTTGAAACAAATTGTTATTAACCTTCCCCTTCTGAGCGTTTCATAATCACAGATGTTAGTTTGGAGATGATATCCAAACATCCCAGGGGTACTTTTGATAGCTGCATGGGCGGGGATTGAATGTGGCGGTCGGATATTAAATCAGCGGGATACAGAATTACTTTTTTTTTTTTTTTTTTTCGTCTACGAACCCGAGCTGGCTAAATAGTTTCCCCCTCTAACTCTGATATGCATTTCACAATCAATGGCGCGGACATTTGCATACATCGTGCCTGGGTGTGGGTTTGTACAATGCCTGTGCCACATCCTGCGTTAGCAGGGAGCGGAGAAACACCTTCACTAAACCTCAGTGCTCAGATGCTCATTGAACAGAGTTACGGAAGAAATACACTTAATTAATTACACGGAGGGGCTGGTTGGCTCGGGCAAGTGCAGATGGATTTTTGTTCGGCCCTGAAATACTTTTCTGGGTTGGTTGTTTCGTTTGATTAGTTAGGTTTTTTCCCCTTTTAATTTTTTTGTTGTTTTTTTTACTGAATTCTGCTGCCCTGGCTGGAGGGGAAGGAGCCTGCCCCGCTAGATGGGGGAGGGAAATCTCAAGGAGAGCTGCTTGCCAGGATAGAAACGCTGCCAGCCGTGTGGCTCCAGGGCCAGTCCTGCCCCTGCCCTCGCCCCGGCTCTGCCGGATTTTGGGGGAGGCTCTGGCTCGGCTTCGGGGCTGCTGTGGGTTGGGGTTCTGCCTTCTCCAGAACAAAAACGCTGCTTCAGAAAGGGCTTGTTGCTTTGCTAAAATTGCAAAAGGAGCTTGTGCGGCGGCTCCTCCTGTTCAAATAATTTTACATTTTAAACTATCGAGGGCTAACTCAGCCGTGCGGTGCTTCCCGAGCCAGCGGGGCGCCGCTGCCCGGCCGTGGGAGCGCGTTCGGGAGGCGCTCGGGGAGCAGCGGCCGCTCCGGGGGTGGCAGAGCCCCTCCGAACCTGCTCCTCTCCACGTGCAAACCCTCCCCAAAATACCGGAGAGAGGTGAGGAGCACGGCCGTGTGAGGAACTCTGCTCCCACCGAAGGCACGGCTTACCAATGGCAAGCATTTTGTGTTCTGGTCTGGATAAAATCCAAGCAGCAGCGAGATAGGGTCTGTCCTTGCTCCACAGACTGGAATAGATTGGACAAGTTTCACTACTCATTTTTTTTAACCCAAAACTACATATTCCTGCTGGTGTCACACATCTGTTTTCTGTTCTCAGCTTTTCTTACCAGGCTGGGTGAGGACAGGTGGAAATTTCACTTCTGTCTGCACTCTTAGGAGCAGGGCCAATTTTTCCCTAACTGCAGGTTTAGTGATTTCCTAAAAAAACACAAATAATATCTCCACGGGACTTAGCCACCCTCGTGTAACACACCCACGGTGCCATTTTGTACAGTCGGACAACAGAAGCTATTTTTCAAACCAGATTTTAAACTCTTCTTAAGCGCCCACTGCCATCGATTTTCTCCCAGGGGATTATAAATCACCTGCCTCCATTAACGGAGGTGACAAAAAAAGAAATAAATATATATATATCTCAGAAGCAGACAAAACAGGGAGGCTGGGGAAATAAAGCAAGATGGGAAGCAGGAGCCCACAGTATCCTGTAGCATCCTCACACTCAGCCCTGGCCCCAGGTCCTCCGGGCAGGTGAAGCCCTTGGTGCACTGTCCCAGCGGCAGCTCCGCTCCTGGAGAATTTTTCCCCCTTGCAGAATATATCCCAAAGTAGCAGCTTGAGAAAAATAAAGTACAAAATAAAAAATTTTAAATACACTTCCCCCTCACCCCCCCCCCCATTCTCCTTGGTTTTATCTGGGAGCGTGTCCCCTGCAGCAGGAGCGACCCCGAGGGTGAGTGAGGCTCTGCCCTTCCTCCCTCTCCTGCCTGCGGAAAGCTATTTCGGAGCTCTTGTGCCCTTTGTCGCAGCAAGGCGGATGATGGTTTTATTTTTGTCCAGCCTGTCCTAAAATCGCGGTACTGTCATTTCCCGGGGCTGCCAAGTATTTTACAGGGTGCCTGGTTTCGTGGCGTGGCATCGGCAATATTCCATCTCCCCTCTTGCCGGGCTCCGGCGTTACGTGTGTTTTCCTAGCAGAGCTTTTCCAAACGCAGCCTGTCAGAGCATCGCACCACCGGGTATTTAAAGTCTTGAAAAGGTGAAACCTGTTGACAGTACGTGAGATTAAAGAGATTTTCCTTTCCGTTTTCAGCTCCTTTTGAGCGGGAGGAGGAGTGCCCGAGAGGGGCTCGGGGCCGGCTGCCGTTCGTCCTCTCCTTCAGCCTAGGAATGAATCCCCCAAAGTTTCCTCATTAAGTCAAAGGGCTGATGAAACGCCTGGCTGCAAAACCACCTCTCTCATAAATCGACACGGATTTTACCTCCCCCCCACACCCCTGTAAAGAATTAAAACTACGACATAGTTCTAATTCCAGTTCCAAGGCTCAGAAGTGCAGTCTGTATGAACATTTAGGGATAAATATTCCCGAATAGCTCCGTTGTAACCTCTGAGAGATACAGCTTAGATTTCGTAATAAAGTGGGTTCCTTGGTTGGGTTTTTTTTTTTTTAATTATTATTATTTAATGCAGTCCTCGAGAATCGAAACACACAAAATGCAGCGAGAATGTTCACAATGTTGAGAACACAGTTGTAAATAGAAACATTCATATTTCATCCGATTATAAATATTTGATACTGCAATTGTAAAATGCACATGTTTTATAAACTGGAGAGAAGAAAAAAAAATCCTTTGCTTTCTTGCTAAAAGGCAAAGTCATTTAATCCTGGCCCCTAAGCAGCTGATGGTTATTCACAGAATTTAAAATTACAGTTTTTATTTTATAGCTGGATTCTTCCCTTTTTTTTTCCCCCCCTTTTTTTTGTCCTTTTTTAAATTTTACACTACTATGTACAGTGTGTATCTATTAGAGCTGCAAAATAAAGAGGTTTTAAGGCAAAGCGAGAAGTTCCCCCCCCCCCCCCCCCCTCCACAAACAGCGTCGCAGGAGAACCCGTTCCTGAGCAGCCGCCCATGCACACCCAGGCCCAGGCGGGACAAATCCCCCTCCGGAGCGGGGACAGGGACCCCACGCTCGGGGACAAACGGGTTCAACGCAGCACAGCGCCTCGGACCCCCCAAAAACGCCGATTTCGGGGAGGGGTGTGCGTGAGGAAGGGGGTGTGGGCTCAAACACCCACCCCGCGCTAGCGGGGACCGCGCTGCGGAGGGGAGGGTACAACTAAAAATGGGGTTTTTTTGGGGGGAAAGGGGGGGCTAAAACGCTCCCAAATGTTTCGGGGAGGTGATGCCGGAGCGGAGCCGGGTCCCATCCCTCGGCTGCCCTCGGCGGGGCCGTGAGGGAGCAGCTCCCGCTTTTCGGGGATGGGGGTCCCGGAGTTATCCCAAGGAGCTGGGAGGGGAGGGGGTGCTGACCCCATCTCTGGGCAGCATCCACGCCTGCATCCCGCACTCACGGGCGCCCGTGGCTCTCCTTGGCGGTGATGGAGGAGCAGAGGCTCAGGGAAGGACCCCGGGCGTGTTTCAAGACGGTGCTTTGAGATTTTGTTTCCCTAACCTTATTTATATCTTTTCTTTCTTTTAAAATTAAATTCTCCACGTCTATCCCCAAAAAATCAGCCCCAAACACCCCAACTCCAAAAAAACAAATTACAAAAAAGACTACACCCCCCCCTCCAAAAAACCACCCAAAAAAGAAAAAGAAAAAAGAAAATTAAAAAGGGAAAAAAAAAAAAAAAAAAAACAAAAGAAAAGGTTAGGGGTGGGGTGAAAAAAAAAGTTTAAACTCATAGAACAAATAGGAGAACTATTTATTCGGTTCACAGTCATGTGAAATGCAGCAATAAAAATCTTTGGACTTCAGCAAAAGTTGTTTTTAATTTTTTTTTGAATTTCAAAAAACAGCGTCCAATGTCCATTAAAACTGCGCTTAAGTCTATCAAAAAGTAACTTAAGCTTAAAAAAAAAATCTCAAGATAGCATCTAAAACTTCATACAACCAAAAAAAATCAAAACAAAAAAACCAGAACAAAAAAAAGCCAACGAAACCAAACAACAAGCCCAAACCCCCGAAACCAAAACCAACCAACAACAAAAAAAATACTTTATAATCAGATATCTTGGATTTTTACACCACCTTACCTGTAAATTATATATACATAGAATATTGCAGAATTATATCTAATACACAATATTTTCACTATTAATGCTGGTATAATCTTTATACACTGGCCCTTACGTTTCTTTTTATTTTTTTTTAATTAAATTATTGCATTGTATAAACTTTGACTGCAAACGGCCCCCCCACCCCTGCCTCCCCCCCTCCCTCCCTCGCTTCCCTCCCACCCCCCCTTTCCCTCGGCTATTCACTGTCCGACTTGCCGTCTTTCGCCGTGGTGGAGTGGTTGTAGAGCCCCTGGGCCATGAGGTGCACTGCCAGGGAGTTCTTACTGCCCGTCGCCTTCTTGATCTTGGCCCGTTTGTTCTGGAACCAGATTTTGATCTGGGACTCGTTGAGCCCGAGCTCCTGGGCCAGGCTCTGCCGCCGCTGCTCCGTCAGGTACCGGTTCGTCTGGAACTCGGCCTTGAGTCTCTGCAGCTGCTCGGCCGTGAAGGCGGTGCGAGGCCGCTTGTCCTCCTTGTTGGGGTTCTTCTTCTTTGGTTTGCGGGAGCGGGGACCTACGGCCGGCAGAGAGGAGAAGAGAGGAGAGGAGAGGAGAGGAGAGCACCGACACGTTCGCGCTCTGCTGCGGGCACGGCTCCGGCCCGGCAGCACATCCAGCCCCGGGGGAACGGAGCCCGCTTTGTGCCTCGGCGGCCGGGGATGCTCGGGAGGCGGCGGAACGGGAGCCGCAGCCCCCAGAGCCCCCAGAGCTCCGCAGCCCCCAAAGCCCCGCTCGCTGTGCCCCCCGGCCCCTTTCTCCCAGCCAGAATCCGCTCCCCCGGCCCCTTTCTCCCATCCAGAAACGCAGCTCCCGAGCCTCTGTGTCCCGGGAATGCCCAGCAGGAAAAGCTTTCACCAGGGGCAGAGCACGGAGCTAAATTTTATACCCTGAACAGATTTTTTTTTTTTTTTTAAGAAAACCTCTACACTTTTTAACTTTTTTTTTTCCTTTTTCCTTTTTTTTTTCTTTTTTTTTTTTTTTTTTTTTTTTTTAATGATAATGGAAATCCTCCCGCAGTTGACTTGGCCACAAGCATTCCGCCTCTCCGCTGCAGTGCCCATATGGCGCTGCACGGCCCGATCCGAATCGCCGGGATTATTCTCGGGAATATTATTCTCGGCAGCACAAGGAGCCTTTTCTGCCCGGGCCGAGCCATTGTGAGGATGTATGTTAATTAAATATTAACAAAGGAGAGCACTGGAGAACAATGGAGTAAATTCCAATTCAGCTCTGAATATTACCTCTGAGTGAGAGTTTGTTTTCAGATATTACGAACTAATTTTCATCTCGATTTACGATCCCTTCCTCAGCTAGCCGACTCCCGGGTGAAAATCCTACCTCGCCGCTTTTGTAAGAGAAAAACCCATATTTTTTTTTTCTTTTCCTCGGGAGCAGATCTCCTGCCTGATGTTTCCCATGCCTTCCTCCAGTGTTTTCTACTTGTTTTTAACCGGGGTTTTACCGATCTGCCGGAGCCAGCCCTCCTGTCCCCGCGGTAGCAAAAGGATATTTTACCCCCTGCTTGTTATTTTTATTTTTTTTTTATTTTAATTTTTTTTATTATTTTTTTAAAGATAATTTCAGGACGTTCTGCCTAAGCCCTTGCCAAAGGACGGACTCTGCCAAAGAACTTTCCCGGCTCTTGGAAATGTCCTCCGGCCCTCACAGAGCTGACCTACAGCATATGGGGGGGAAATTAAAAGAAAGAAAAGAAACGGCGGCGGCTCGGAGGCCTCTTTTGGAGAAATAAACGAGCGCGGATTGTTTTTGGCCAAAAAAGACTAATCAAAACAAGGCGAGGCCTATGGAAATGCCACCTCCCCTTCCCAAAACCCAGCGCAGGGGGGGGTTTCCCGGCAGGGAAAAGGAGAGCTCGCCGGGAGGACGAGCGGGGAGCCCCAAGACAGTTTGTTTTTTCCTCCCTCTTTGATAAAACTCGTCAGTCGGTGGGAAATGCGCCGAGCCCAGGCGGCCTCAGCGGCGGCGGGGACAGAGGGAGGGACACCCGCTCCCTGCTCGTCCCTGCGGCTCCGCGCACCCCCAGCACACCCTGCCTCTCCAAGCATTTTCAGACCATTTTCAGCAACTCGCCCACCCGCCAAAAAACCCCAAAAAGCAAAACCCAAACAGGAAAAAAAATAACCAGAAGAAGACGGAGAGGGAAAGGAGAGCGGGGTCTTTTCCACGCCGCTTCCCGGCCTGGCGGGCGGCACGGCCGGGGGAGCCCGGGGCAGGGGCTGCGGCCGCGGGGAGCGGGGCCGCGGCGGGGCAGCGCTTACCTGAGGAGGGCCGGTCCGAGTACCGCGTGCAGTACACCCAGGCGGGCCACAGCATGGGCTGGTTCCCGGCGTTGGAGCTGGCCTGCGAGCTATCCGAGTCCGAGCTCACCGACAGGTCGCCGCCGCTCAGCCCCCGCGCCTTCAGGGCCGCCTCCAGCGCCGCGGGGTCCCCCCCCTTCTTGGCGGCGCCGTGCAGGGCCAGCCCGGCGGGGCCGCCCTCCCCCCGGCCCGGCGAGCCCGCCCCGCCGCCGGGCAGCGGAGCGCCGGGGGCCGGCGCCGCGGCGGGGCTGCGGCGGCTCTCCGCGCCGGGCCGCCGGGGCTCTCCGTCGGGGCCGCCCGCCTCCTTCCTCCGCCCGAACTCGGGCCGCAGGATGTTGTCGATGAAGAAGTTGGTGATGCGGTGCGGGTGCGGGTGGGGGTGCGGGGGGTCACCGGGGGGGAGCAGCAGCCCCCGCCGCCCGCCGCCGCCAGGCTCCGCGTCGCCGCCGGACTCCTGCGGCTCGGCCGCCTCCTCCCGGGGGCTCCGGCCGCCCTCCTCCATGCTCGCCCCGCCGACGGCTCCGCTGCCCGCCCGCCGCCGACCGGGCGCTGCCGAGCGCTGTCTGTTGTCGCTGCTGCAGTCGGTTGTTCTTTATTTTAATTTTTTAATATATATATTTATATATATATATGTATATATATATATACACGCACACACAGGTGTCTATTTGCTTTCGTTTCTCCTGGCTTCGCCCGGCATTCAAAATCCAGAGTTTGGAAAAAAAAAAAAAAGGAAAAAAAATTTTAAATTTAAGAGTAATTAAAAAAAAAAAATAAGAGACAAATGCAGGGAGACCCGCAAGCCAGCAGCCGAGCCTGCACCACTTCCAACTTTGACAAAAAATGAAAACACAGGGGCTCCGGTCCTCCCGCCGCCGCTCGCCGCCGCCGCTCAGCCGCTCGGTCCCGCGGCGCGCTGCCGCCTGCTGCCCCGGCCGCCGCCGCCGCCGCGCCTCATCCGCGGGAGGAAAAAAAAATTAGCGATAATAAAAATAATAATAATTGTGGAGCGGAGGTGGGGGGTGCACGAGAAAAAACGAAGCGCCGGTGTCGGGGCGGGGTGTAGGCGGGCTCTCAGCAGCCGGTGTCCCGCGGAGGGCAGGGCGGTGAGGGGCGCCCCGCGGGGCTCCGGCCGGCAGCGCCTCGCCCCGCGCCGCCCCGCGCCGCCCCGCGCCCGCACATGCGGGGGCCGCCGCGGCTGGGGGGGCGTCCCGCCCTGCCCTGCCGCCCGCCCTGCGCCGCGCTACGCCCCGGCGGCCGCCGCCACCGCCGCGCCCGGGCACTTCCACTCGGGTTGTTGTCCTTTAGGTTTTAACGGGGCCCCCGCCGCTGACGTCGCCGGCCCGGGCGCTCCGACACGTGCCTCGGGCCAATGGAAGGCCGGGCGAGCGCACACGTGGTGCGGGGCGCCCCGGTAAGTGACAGCGCCCACGCCCCTCCCCCGGACGGGCCCGGCGCGGCCGCCGCCGCGGGGATGCGCGGGGGGGAGCCGGGGGTGCCCCGCTCCGGGGCTGCCCCCCGCCCGCCGCTGCCCCCCGGCCCGGCCGGCCAGGAGTTACCGGGGCTCGATGGTCCCGCTGTTTACCGGGGAGGGGGCCGGCATCCCACAATTCCTTGCAGAAACGCATAAATAATATTAAGCGAGCGGCGGCGATACAAAGGGGTCCGGGGGGGGGCGGAACAGGCCCGGCCCGGTGCCCGCGGGCTGCTCGGGGGTTGCGTCCCCTCCCCGCAGCGCGGTTCGGCCGTAATTGACTCGTCCTTCCCGCAGCCGGACAGGAGCTTTTGATCCGCCCTGGCCGCTCCCCGAACGGCACCGCGGCGCCGTGCTGCCCCCCAAAACCCCGGCCCGGCACCCTCTGCACCCCGCAAAAACCCTTCCCTCTCTAGGATGGGAAAGCTGCCGCAGCCGCTTTGCTTGTGTTTAGGGAGAAATAACCCCGGAACAAAATTAGGGAGCAAGGTGCTAGTGGATGGAGGAAGCGCTGGGGGCTGAGCGGGTTGCGGGGCTCGGGGAGCAGAGAGGGGAGCGAGCAGGCAGGGACGGGTCCTGCCCCCGCAGCCCACCCGGGATCCTGCCGGGCCCGCTCGGTGCCATCGCCCGACGGGGCGCACCCCGAGCCAGGAGCCGCGCCCAGGGCCGAGCGGGGTCGGGAGGGGATGGCTCGGCCCCGGTGGCCGCCGCACTCCGACTGCCCTAAGGCTCTCCCCCTAAGTGACGTTTTTATTTGGAGGTGGCTTCCCTGCGGTGACACGCATCACTCGCCACCTTGAAGGAAAGGGACAGCGAGCCTTTCCTTTCCTCTTCTTCTTTTCCTTTTTATTTCCTTTTTCTCTCCCTTTTTGCTTTCCTTTTTCTTAACATTTTTTCTTTCCCGTTTACTTTTTCTTTATTCTTTCATTTGTATTTAATTTTAAATTCATCTCCCTATTTTCTTTGTATTTCGCAGCGAGTCGGGTTCACCAGAGAAGACCAGCAGTGGCTGATCCGAAGTTGTTTTGCTCAAACAAGCACCCAGAGGTTAATTTCTTCAAGAGCCCCATGAAAAGCGATTAGCCTGTCTCCCAAGAAGTATTTTCTAATTACTTGGAAGCTCTCGCTTTACTACTACCCCATAATTAAACGTGTTCAAGGTGCTGCACTTCAAATATTTCGCTCCCGGGCGGACCCAAGTTACCGATAAAAACTTTAAACCTCCTTGAACCCCTCGTTACCTGCCCGCTCGCTGCCGGTACGGCGTTAACCTTCCCATTCGTTATCCCGCTCCTTCGCGGGGATATTTCCAACCTACACAGGACAGGGGGGAGAATTCCTGAGGTAAACTCCGAAGTAGGAGATAAACAAAGCTGTACAAAACAATTACTGCATCTGCCTGTCCTCTGACAATAATCCAGCACCTCAGGTATGCAGAGGCGGCGGGGGGGCGGCGAGGGGTGAAGCAGTGATCTGATACCGAACCGAAGAAATCTGAACGGTCTGTTTTTTTTTTTTTTAATTTTTTTTCCCAAGGTTATTTTTATCTGGGAGCTCAATCTCTGTAGAAACATTCCCCAGCAGCACTATTGCTCGCCGGTCTGCAGCCGCCTGGCAAGCGGCACCGCAGCGTGCGGGGGCTTTTCCTCGGGAACCACTGCGGGTCACCGGGAGAGGTGGCTTGGAAATGGGAGTTTGGCTTCGTTTCCTTCTTGGCTTCAGCCTCCCCTCGCAGACCTAGTGCCTGCAAATGTCACCTCTCCGCACGCCAGCAATATTTCTTTTCCTTACGCTCTCCGCGTAGTTTCAACGAGGCTCATTCCCTGCTGCCACCCTTTTAAAAATTTATATCTTTTCTGTCTTTCAAATAGGTGAGTGTGGGGGTGCAGCAGAACCCCCACACCGTGCTCTTTGCTTGGCAATGAAAACTTTAGGAACGGGATGAGAAGCGGGGAGCTCTGTACGGGGATGGAGGGAGGGAGATTGCGGCCGAGGGCTGCGGGCAGGCTCCGGGGCTGTTTGTGCCGCTCCTCCGAGCAAACCCTCCTTCCAGCCTTTCCCCACGCTCGGGAAAAAGCAAACCAAAACAAAACAACAACCCCCGAGGTGCCGGGAAGCCAAAATGCCCAGAGTAATAGTGGAGGCCAAGGGAGTTGCTGCACCTCTCGCTCTCCCAGCGTGGAATGACCGCCTGCAAAACGCAGTCTTGCACCAGATTTCTCCGGGTTTGCAGCGATTCCCCCATTCCCAGCCTGTCCCTGGCCGTGCCGCCGGGGGAGGTCTGGCACAAACAGCGGCTCTGCCCCGTGGGCACAGCCCGGGCACATCCCTGCCACCCCGGCGGCCCCCGTGTGCCTCCCGCTCACGCCCGCAGCACTTTCCCTTCCGAGCGAAGCCTTTGAGGCAGCTTTGGCAGCGCGCTGGAGCTGCTGGCGGAGGAGAGAGGAGAGGGGAGAGGTCGCTGCTCCTTTGCCAGGCTGGCCGCGCCGCAGGCGCTGTGCCCGGCGCTGCCCGGCCTTCCCTGGGCTCTGGCATCAATTTTGGAAGGGGAAAACCAGCAGCAACCCCCGGCTAGCCCTGTGCAGGCTTTCCTGGGGCCGGCGGGCCGGAGCAGCTCAGCCAGCACGGCCGCATTTCCCCAGTGCCGCCGGGTTCTCGCTGCTCCGCCGACAAGCACGAGAATGAAACCCGCGGAACCTCCGGATTTTCCCAATTCCCCCCATGCCAGGCAGGATAAAGGGCGCTCTGCGGCCGCCCGGGTCCCACCCCGCAGCCCGCCGTGGGACCGGCATCGCCCATCCATCCCCTTCCAGCGGGAATACTTTCCCATCAACGGGGGCAAAGAGACGGGTTGGAAAGCCTGGCTTCCACTTTCTTGCGAGATCATGAAAATTTCATGAGCCGCTCGTGGCGAGGGCAGAGCCCGCGGCTGCCGCCCCGGCCCGGCCCGCGGCGGGCTCCGGACGGAGCGAGCGAGGGCAGCGGAGCGGGGCACGGAGGATGCTCGGGAGGGAGCGGGTGAGGGTGAATGTCAGAGCCGTGCCTCGGGAAAGGAGCGCTCGGTCACGGCTGCCGCTGGCAGCAAGGAGGGACGGGGAGCAGCCGCCCCTTCCCACGGGAGGGAGGGTGCGCGGGTGGGGTGGGAGTGCCGGCCCCAGCTCGCCCTGCCCCTGGCCCGGCCCTGCCCAGCCTCGCCCTGCCCCCGGCCCTGTCCTGTCGCTGCCCCGTCCTTCCCCTGCCCTCCCCGGCCCCTCTTCCTGCCCTGCCCCTGCCCACGGGGAGCAGCCCCCTCCCCTCCGCCCGCAGGCTGGGACTGAGGACAGCCTTGCCGGGACCCATCGAAAACTGTCAGACAACAGCGATAAAAGCCTCCAATTCTGTTAAAGTTAGGTGGAAAGTAAGGGTAAACGACAGCCCAGAGCACAATAATGTGGTGGTCGGCGAAAGGAAGAGAAGAGAAGAGAAGAGAAGAGAAGAGAAGAGAAGAGAAGAGAAGAGAAGAGAAGAGAAGAGAAGAGAAGAGAAGAGAAGAGAAGATGGGAGGGAAAGGAAAGGAAAGGAAAGGAAAGGAAAGGAAAGGAAAGGAAAGGAAAGGAAAGGAAAGGAAAGGAAAGGAAAGGAAAGGAAAGGAAAGGAAAGGAAAGGAAAGGAGAAAAGAAAAAGAAAAGGAAAACAAAAGGCAAAGGAAAAGGAAAGGGGAAAAGAAAAGGAAAGGGAAAAGGAAAAAGAAAAAGGAAAAAGAAAAAGGAAAAGGGAAAAGAAAAAAGGAAAAGGAAAGGGAAAAGGAAAAGGGAAAAGAAAAAAGGAAAAGGAAAAAGAAAAAGAAAAAGAAAAAGAAAAGGGAAAGGAAAAAGGGAAAGGGAAAAAAAGGCAAATGAAAAAGGGAAAGGAAAAAGGGAAAGGGAAAGGAAAAAGGGAAAGGGAAAAGAAAGGAAAAAGGGAAAGTCCTTTCGGTTTCCCAGGGCAGTGTTCGCTGCTGCATGCCTGGACCCCCCAGCTCTCTGTGCCGGAGCTCTGGTCCCGCTCCC